TTACCAAAAAGCGGGAGATTGAAAGTGCATTTGCCCCCTATGTGGGTTTTGGTGTATTGATGACAACCAAATTAGGAACTAATGTGATCTTAATGAGATATGTTGCAGCTATTAGTCCCATGAAAGATTCAAAGAGTTGATAAAGATGAAATGGTATCCCTCAATTCTTGAAGTTGTAAAGGCAGACGAACTCAAAACGATCTCCAAAGGTTTTAATTTTGTTTTTGAGTTTAGGATCCGCCGCACTATAAACAGGGACTCAAGTTTAGTTGGTCTGAGGAAGATAGAGTGCTCAATCATTTAAATAAAACCAAAAGAGAGTCACTCTAGCACTTCACGAGCACATAGAATAATTTTCTGTGACTTTCGGTGTCGGAAGTCCCGACGTAAGTCGGAACTCCCGACGGTCGGAAGTCCCGATCTAAGCCAGGAGTCCCGGCACCTGTGCTTCTGACTGGCTCGCTGTCTGTGCACGTCGGAAGTCCCGACGTTCGTCGGGAGTTCCGACACTGACCTGACCCAAGCCGGGAGTCCCGGCATCTGCAGTGCTGGTTGTTTCGTTTACTGCGCACGTCAGAAGTCCCGACGTACGTCAGAACTTCCGACCATCGGAAGTCCCGACGTTTGCCGGGAGTTCCGACACTGACTTGCACGCACTGACTTTCGACTCTTTGTGTACAGTGTTTTCTGTTAACGTCGGAAGCCCCGAGATCTGCGTCAGAACTTCCGACGTAGATCTGAACGGTTGGATTTTCAATTGGAGTATAAATACTCCTCTCTTCACTTCTAACTGTCACGGACTAATTTCACAGTTGACTCACTTCGTGCTCAATAGCTCCCAAGCAACTAAAGCACCCCTCTCATTCTCCCTTTGCTCCAATCTTCGATTCCCTTAGGGTTTGAGTGAAAGGAGAGTGGATTAAGTGAGAGCATCACTTTGGAAAGTTTGAGCACTTGATTTCTTCATCAAGCCGGTTGATTTTGCGTCTATTACTCTTGGGGCTTTGCCCCTAGCCGGCTAGGCGTTGCCCTAGAGCTTCCATCTTGTGAAAGAGCCTTGGAAAGTTTGTATCACCCTTCGATTTCTTAGTGGAAAGCTTAAGTGACCTTTGTGGTCGCTTTGAGAGAGGCAAGGAGGTGGAAAAGACTTCGACCTTGGTGGTCACCTCAACAACGAGGACGTAGGAGCTCCTTAGTGGGGTTGTCGAACCTCGGGATAAATCCTTGTGTCCCGTGTGCTTGTTGTTGTGATTGTTAGAGATTATTTGTATCTGTTTGTCTCTTTCTCTCCCAAACTTTTATTTTAGGGTTTGGACTCGATCTACCGTTTGGAGGCATTACGGTGTCAAGGGAGTGACTGAACATCTTCACCAAATCACTAGGAAGTGAGGTTGTAAGTTTATTTATTCACAAAGTTAAATTTAGCACTGCTTTTGTAGTTCACGTAGGAGTCGGAACTGCTGACATTTGCGTCGGAACTTCTGACAACGTCGGAAGTTCCGACCCAAACGTCGGGACTTTCGACAGTGACTGACATAATTGAACTTAGCATTTGCAGTAATTTTTAGATACACCTATTCACCACCTCTCTAGGCATTGTTAGATCATTTCACCATTAAATATTGATGGTTCCGAACAGACAAGAACACGACTACACCTCTTGCCCAACGACCGAGGGTTAACTCCGCCACATCCGACCCCTAAAGGCTGGCTCCACCACATCCGACCCCTGAGGGCTGGCTCTGCCTCGTCCGACCCCCTGAGGGCTAGCTCCGCCTCGCCCGACGTCTGGGGGCAGGCTCTGCCTCGCCCGACGTCTGAGGGCAGGCTTAGCCTCTCTTAATGTCCGGGGGCAGGCTCCACCTCGCCCAACGTCCGAGGGCAGGCTCCTCCTCACCCGACGTCCGGGGGCAGGCTCTGCTTCGCCCGAGGTTCGGGGCAGGCTCCGCCTCACCTGATGTCTAAGGGCAGGCTCTGCCTGGCCCGATGTCTGAGGGCAGGCTCCACCTCGCTCGACATCTAAGGGTATACTCTGCTTCACCCGACGTCCGGGGGCTGGCTTCGCCTTGCCCAATGTTCGGGGGCAGACTCCGCCTCGCCCGACGTCTGTGCGCTGCTCCTTCATAACTACGCACGCAGATAAGGCGGGACACTCAAGTCAACCGCAATATCGAGGACCATACCCTGCACGCCTGTAGGAAAGTACCATCAGGATATGACCAGACAGGCGCTTTAAGCCCTTCTAGGCATGTCAGAACCCAAACAGTATTGAGGGCGCTGACATTTGTCCTACAGTGTTATGGACACCGGCATTTGCCCTCGGACACGAATCCTGACGGAAACATACAACAACCACTACGGTTCAGGAGGAAACTCATGTCATATATAGTAACGAACGTGGAGCCTCTACGCTGTCTACTCGCTGTAGGGTCGCGGCTCGGCACCCTGGTGCATCGCATCGCCCGCCAAGGCAGGATGGGACGTAACCACTTGCTGAACGAGGCCAGAACGAGGTCGAACGTGCTATCTCTGGCATCGCCTACCGTGTTAGCAGGGTAGGCTCAAACGAAAAGAAAGACCCGACACCTTTGAAGGGCCTTCTTGGCCTCTGATTTTTCTTTTTTCTCCCATCTATAATCCCTGCTCCCCCTTGATCTATAAAAGGGAGGGCAGGACACCCCACTAAGAAGGCGAATCAATTCCACACATCACAACACACAGCCGAGCAACAACCAAGCTCTTAGTGACCTTTCAACATTTTCATCAGAGACTTATGACATGTCCCTCTCTCATCCGTTTGTACACCCTACTATGAACCTTTCAGTGCTAATAACACGAGCAGCAGCCGCAAACTGGACGTAGAGACATTCTGCCCAAACCAGTATAAACCTTGTATCTTTTAGCACACCATCCGGACCCAACGTGTAATAAATATAAATTTACTAATTGGTGTTTACTCGAAACACCGACACCCCTTGTCTAAGGTGGAGGCTAGACATGACCTGTTCAGAATCACTATTACGTCGTGCAATAGGGTCTGTTTGGTTGGTGACCAAAACTTGACACGTCAAAGGTTAGTCATGCCACAATTTCTTCGGCAGCTGTTTGGTCACTGCCACAGCTGCTAAACTTTCTTAGCACCCTGTCCCACATGTCATAGACTCATTTTTGTGCCAAAGCTTGGCAGAAGTGTGGCTTCGATTTTACTAATCAGACTTTTTATGACGGCTACAATTTACCGAATGTTAAGCGTGGCGAGTTTTGATCACTCACCGAACAGTCCCAAGCATGTGGTGCCGCTCCACGACGACATCGTACACATGGTTTAGGAGCTCGTCTAGCACGAAAATGGTGCTGGGGAAGAGGGATGGCTATGACGAAGCGCACCTGTATATTTCAGCCAGCGCGTAGCGTGGCTTAACGACACCACCTACTCTTTTTGACGCGTGCTTGGCGGGGGTTTTTTTTATATCTGGCAAATTTATTAGCAGCAACTTGTTGCAATGAGGGAGAAAATATCCCAATTTACAGAGTTCAGCGCCGCAAGTACAGGGCGGCTGGAAATATGATTTTGGTTGGTACAAGAAAGGTGCGTATGCGAGGCCTTGGCCTTGTGCGCCTAAGTAACTAATGTGTGTGCTGTGCTGTTTAGGTTCCTTGCAATTTTGAACACCCTTGAGTTGGTGTTGCACGTGTCGTTGATGAAGCGTTGGCTTGATATCCCACATCGGAGGAGAGCTGAGATAAGTTCCGTTGAGGAATGTCGCCAGCTGCTGATTGTCTGTAAAGAACACAGGAGAGTTAATTCTCAGAGCGGAGGTAATGGACGCCCCGAAAGCCATGGCTGCTGCTTCTGCCATGAGTACCGAGCTTGGCGGGGGTGAAGCCCATCCGAGCCGCCTTCTTCTCCCTAGGTAGTGGCGGATCTAGGAAGAGCAGAGAAGATAGCGTAAGGGCAATTTTATCTTTTTGGATCCTTAATCCAGACCAGCAAGTGGAATTGACGAGCCTCATCATCAAAACGTGGCAAGAAGCTAGAGCGTCATTCGTTATAATAATAGCAAATAATTAAATATTCACTCCATCTAAAAAATTAGTTTAGAACAAGTAAAACTTTCTTAAGTTTAATCACATTGATTGAAAAATATATTAACATTAATGTCTCCAGACAGTCATATTATAAAATACATTTTATAATTAATTTAATAAAAATATTTATTGTAAATTTGCTCAAATTTAAAGTTTTTTAACTCTTCTATAAACGAGAATTACATCTGGGGATTGGGGATGGAGTATGGTCCTGTTTGGGATCATTTATAATTAATTTGATGATAACCATCGTATTGTGGGGATTTTTTTATTCTCGATTATCGAGTGTGCTATTTCAAAGTTTTGAAGCCTTGATTAAAAGAGTCGTAAATAATCAAAATGTTTAATGGGATTTTTACTTTCTTTCGTCGAGAATCGGATTATAAGAAAACAGAAGTACTCCCTTGCAATCGCCTGATAAATCGACTTTTCGTCCGTCACCCGTACCCGTCGCCCGCTCCTGCTCCGGCTCGCGCCGCCCGTGCCCCTCTCTATCTCATCTCCGGCGACCTCCTCCCCGGCAGCTGCGCCCGCGCCCGCGCCCGACGGCCACGCGCCCGCCCCCTTCTTCCCCAACTCCGGCGGGCATAGAAGGGCCCGGCTGGGGGGAGGCAGGCCGGCCAGGCGGTGGGGAAGGAGACCGGGCGGCTTAGAGGCCCTGGAGGCGGCGGTGGCGGCCGGGCCAGGGAGGGCCGGGGGCGCCATGGCCGGAGGGAGTTGTCGCTGCCGAAGCTCGCCGTGACCGGAGGGAGAGGGGAAAAAGGCGGCCGCCGCGGGCGCTAGAGGCTTATCTTTCCTGTTTACCCACACGATCACATAAGCATATCTTTCCTGTTTACCCACCGCTTTTCTCGTAATCCGGGGACAGGGCCAAGAAGAGAGGAGACGTGGCCGGTGCGTCGGCGGCGGCCATGTTGATCCCCCTGGTGCTCGTCGTGCTCCCGCTCGGGCTCCTCTTGCTCCTTTCCGGCCTCATCGTCAACGCAATCCAGGTGATCTCAGCCGCCCCGGTCTAAGCGACCTCTTCTTCAGTAATTATTTTTACTAATAATTTCGGGGTTTCCTGTGGTGATCTGAATCTGTTCGGTCGCTATGATTTGTTTTTTAATCGGTAAATATATACGATATTGACTCTTCTCTAGCTGGAGGCCCTTTGCACTGATTTGCTGGGGGAAGTTCCTGTTGATTGTGTTGATTCTTTTTAACTGCGTTTGTTTTTTGGCGCTTTGTTTTTCCCAATGGTCTGATCTGCTGCAATGCTTTCGGTTCAGCTGTTTAATTCGGAAACTGTCCAACATTTGGCTATTTTTTTGTTACTTTCTGGCCTAGCTAAATGGGCAAACTAACTTCTCTGATCCATTAATTGCGTACTCGAATCACCACTGCCTTGCTCTTATCTTCCGCTTACTACACATTGCAGGCTATCTTGTTCGTGTCTGTAAGGCCATTATCGAAGAGCTTGTATCGTCGGATCAACAGATTCTTAGTCGAGCTGATATGGCTTCAGCTAATCTGGCTTGTGGACTGGTGGGCTGGTGTTAAGGTAATTTAAGAAACATAAATTTGAGCAATCGAAAGTCAGGTTCTTTTCTGCATAGAGCTCTGATGCATTTCAATTGGCCAAAGGAAAACAAACTTCAATACTATTTTGTTTCTTCATTTGGGCTACATGGTCCCTCATACTAGTTTTAAAGTTGGCTTATTGGTTTGAAGTTGTAGTGTGATGTGCAACTATTAGGTTCTTCTTAATGCAATGATGTGAAGCTCACTTGCATATTTGAGAAAAAAATAGCAACATTAAGACGAATACATTGGCTTATTGGCTAACTACTTGACTGAAGCTTGGTAGTATGCCTTTGAATGATCCACTTGGCAATGAGGCAATCTGGCATGACAATGGCATGGATCAATGGAATTTGGGCCATGGAGGCAAATATGGAAGACCTGGGCTCCACCTCGATGCAAATTATTTGTTTCGTTGGCCTCCTTGAACCATTGTTGGATGACTGATCGTTTGTCCCGTCGTGGACTTGATCACCCACAGAGTGCTGCCCATTGTGCGATCAAGAGGAAGAGACGGTGCAACATTTTCTCACTTCTTGTGTGTTTGTAAGGAGTGTGTGGTTTTCAGTGCTATCAATAGTTGGGCTGCAGCACTTAGCTCCGGACATGGAGAACTACAGAATGGTGGTGTCATGCTTTACAGAGGGTTCCCAATTTATCTCGCTAGGGCTTCAACTCTTTAGTTGTGTTAGTGGCATAGTGGATTTGGAAACATAGGAATGGCTGCATTTTCGAGAGGTTTTCTCCTAATCTTGCTGCCATCTTGTGGGATATTAGAGATGAGGCAATGTTATGGTGTAAGGCGAGAGTCAAAGGGCTCTGTAGCATGTGGCCTTAGTTGTTTCACTCATGGTCGCCGGTTGCGGTTAAGCTTTATTGGTGAATCCTTTTTGTAACTTCTTTGCCCCTATAAGGGTTTTAAGGGTCATCTAGACTCCTTTCTTCTTAATATAACACACTTCTCACTCTTGTTTGAGAAAAAAAAGAGTGTGGAGTGTTGGGGGTTTGGCCGTTTGGGTAGGCTAGTCACCATCAAGACAAGAGAGGGCTAACACTAAACATGATTGAAGTCAACATTCTTTTTGTTCTTTTTTAAAATGGCCAAGTCTCTACAATTTAAGTGGCTAGCATTTGCTTGTCTAGCTGGGTTAAGTGAAATTTGGGTGCCTGATGAGTTTGCTCTGTGTCTTGTTCAGTTATACTGTTCTTCTTAACCTTTTTGTACAAGGTCATATTATATAACAATAACATTGAGGGAGGGAGGGACACAGGGACACAGGGGTTTGACATGGTGGCATGCAATGGAATTGGAGTTGCTGACATTGTTTGAGGTGGCTCCTCACCGTGGTCAGTTTGGACAAGAAGGAACTTGTAGCTAAGATTAAATTTCGGCCAATCCAAGATCAAAACTATTAACCACCCTTCTGTCCACCCCAACCTCCAGTCCCTCCCGTACCCACACAGAAACAACTGAACTGCTTGCTTGGTTGGCAATGCAAAGTGTTTCTTCTTCTCAACCTTTTAAAAAGAACTAAGGCCATTTTTGCACAAGGAATTTCACAGGGAAAAAGTTTAATTCCCAGAGGAGTCAGGAAAAGTTCCTATATTTGGGCTAGAGGATCAGAGACACTTTAGAGTTCTCAGCAGAAAATCTTAATTTGTTTGGGATCTTTGTGAAATAGTTAGTTTCACATTCTTTCTTTTTTTTTGATATGTTCCCTGGTTTCAATCATTCCATTCAAATTCTGCAGGTACAATTGCATGCAGATCCAGAAACTTATCAGCTAATGGGTAAGGAGTTGAGTTCCAAAATTTTCACGTGAGCGTTGAGCATTGATTTTATAGCGTAGTTCAAAAAAGGATGGATTTTTATTAGTACCATTTGAAGAATTCAATAGGAAAAGAGCATGCCCTTATCATATCAAATCACCGGAGCGACATTGATTGGCTTATTAGATGGATTTTGGCACAGGTGATTATTTTTTCTCATTAAATATTTTTCTTGGAACTAGCAGTTTTATTACTAATTCATTGTGACGAGAGTTGGGTTGATTTGGTGACTAGCGTTCAGGATGTCTTGGGAGCACACTAGCTATCATGAAGAAATCTTCAAAGTTCCTTCCAGTAAGTTTGCTCATACATTTCTATGATGGTATGCTGTCTCATGTTTTAGTTCTGTATTACTCATAATTCCAATTTATTTCTGCAAATCTGTGTCAAGTAATGTAAGAAAGGGGGGCAAATAAAATAAGATTTGGGATACACATGGACTTGTAAACTTACCTGTGTCAAGTAATGTAAAATAAGATTTGGTATGCTGTCTCAAACTTATCAGGCATGCTCTTTTCTCGAACATATACCAGCTTCATTGTGCATGGTATTCCCTTTCATCATTAGTTGGGTGACCTCATGGTTATCCATGGAGCAAAGAATGATTTCCCATAAATATCTATAAGATTGTGTTCAAGAAAATATCTATAAGATCATCCCTGGTGCCAAAGTCTCAAGCAAAGCAACAAAATCTCTAAGAAGAGTAGATGATCATCCATATTGCGAGGGTCCTGACCAGCGAAGTACTAAATCCGTTCCAAATTATAAAACGTTTTGGCTTTTCTAGATACATTGCTTTTACTATGTATCTAGACATAGTGTATATCTATATGCATAGCAAATGCAACGTATCTAGAAAAGGCAAAACGTCTTATAATTTGGAACGGAAGGAGTACTATATAAGAAGAATATCAAAATTGAAGATATACTAGAAAGTTTTCTAACTGAACTTATACCAGTTTCTCACGATTTATACCGGTTAGAGCAGTGTGCTCGGGGGTATCCCCTTGCTGGTCCGCGTTCGAATCCTGGTACAGCTTCTTATTTCAATGCCCAGGGGGGTGTCTTCCCCCCTGTGGTCGATTTTTTTTTTCTTACTGAACTTATGAGGAACCCACAAACAGGCACATTGCAATTCATTTGTGAGCAAGCTGACAGCCTGATAATTGATTTGTTGAACATACTAATTGGCTTTAATGTTACATGTTCAGTTATGCTTGTATGATAGCAACATGAAATTATGTATAATCTTCAAGTTTTTCTTGAAAATTAGTCTAGGCTCAATTGTTGAAGCGATAGGTACTAAATAAACTTGAAGTGATGTAATAACTCAAAGTGAATAGTACTGAGTTATGATTCCTGAATATGGCTTAGTCTTGACTCTTGAGTACTGAAAGGTTTGAACATACTCCGTATTATCTTACCATAAGGGACTGCATGTATCTGTGTCTCTTCTTATTCTGATAAACTATTGCAGGTTATTGGCTGGTCTATGTGGTTTGCTGAATACCTATTTCTGGAGAGAAGTTGGGCAAAGGTCGAAAAGACACTTAAAGTATTTTCAACCTTACTTAATATGACACTTAACAGTTGACACCTTTCTGTTAACAGTAATTAAATGATCTCTATGCTCTTTAATTCAGTGGGGTCTCAAAAGGTTGAAGGACTTCCTCAGATCATTCTGGCTTGCCCTTTTTGTTGAGGGTACACGGTTTACACCAGCAAAACTTCTAGCAGCTCAAGAATATGCAGCCTCACAGGGTTTGCCAGCCCCTAGAAATGTGTTGATTCCACGTACCAAGGTTTGCATTTTTGCTGCTTCCTGACTGAAATTTTGTATTCTGCCATGGAAGTTTCCAGTGTTGCATGTGAAATGTTAAAGGTCTCTCCCAAACATCGACAATTTCCTTCGCCTATGTGACTCAGCTTTATGTGAAATTCTTAGATATTTTAGTTTGCATTCTAACCTTAGTTGATCAGCTGTGCTTATCTTTTTCTGCTAATTGCTTATTGAGGTCAGAACTCAGATGGAAGAAATACAATATTTCGTAGTTTTTGGTGTGATGCATTATACATTTTGTGCAAATTTGATCTCTTCCTTGTTTTTTTCACTTTCCTTTCTTTTTGTCCCAGCTATCTATGATACAACAGTGATAATCCCTAAAGATTCACCTGCACCAACAATGCTGCGTATTCTCAAGGGACAATCATCAGTGGTAAGTGTTTCGACTTCTTTAGACTCGAATTGCTGAGATGCTGCTGATTTTGATCATGGAAACTTTGATCGGATCAAATGGATACCTTTCTGATGTCCAGTTATGGATCCACAATTTTCATTGTAGGTTCATGTTCGCATAAAACGCCATGCAATGAGTGATATGCCTAAATCCGATGAAGATGTTTCAAAATGGTGTTAGGACATCTTTGTGGCAAAGGTATTTGACTACTTGGTGAAACTATGAGCATGTAAGATGTCACATTTGAAAGGCTCCACAAATTGGCTGATTTGTTAATTATTATTTTTCTATGACAGGATGCTTTATTGGACAAGCATATAGCAACTGGTACTTTTGATGAAGAAATTAGACCGATTGGTTGTCCAATGAAGTCTTTGCTGGTAAATACTTGACTAAGAGTTCAAGTCATCATGTTATGGATTAGCATTATCCATCACAGTTGTTAAAGAAATCAAAATAGTAAATGGACAGATGCCCTGTTAGGATAGTAATAAACAGTAAACATACCTTATAATTTTAGGTTGCCATCTTCTTGTGATAGAAAAAGTGGCATAGTTTGATATGATAATGGCAACACATCTTTGCGACTTTGCTAAATCACTGTTACTAGTACCTCATTTCATTTGTGTTCGAGAAAAGAGTAGTACCTCCATTCCCTTTTGTAAGGTGCACACACATATCAAGATTCAAACTTTTAAAATCTTTGGCCAATAATTTGGCAAACAATTTTTAATTATTATAAAACAAACTGGTGATACTTTGTGACCGGAAGGTCCCGGTTTAGTCATGGTGTATGTGCAAGGTAACTGTACTAGACTGGGTACGCCCTTTATAAAACAAACTTGATACATTTAGATGTAAGCAACTGTACTATCAAATAATCATAAGTTTATAAGCGTAACGATATAATATAAAGTAAATGAATGGTCAAGTATATTTTAGGAGACCGTGTCATTCTAAACCACGCCTATAAAATGGAACGGAGGGAGTACCTCATTTCATGTCGAAAGCTTTTGTTATTCCTATAACAGAATGAGCTCAGTTCCCTTAATGCATCAAATGTGCTTGATAAAAGATCACATTGCAGAGCATTTAGGCAGATCACTTTGGCACTTAACTATTTTGCTATGAGAATATCTTGTAAACATACCCCTTCAACTTTGTCCTGTGTCGCCCTTAAAAAATTAGCTATTATCTTGCAGCTGCTTAATTCTGTTTCTTCTGTTGGAGCAGGTGGTTGTCTTGGTCATGCCTCCTCCTATATGGTGCCTACAGATTCTTACAGTGGACTCAACTCTTGTCAACGTGGAAAGGCATTATCCTCTTCGCTGCTGGATTGGCACTGGTGACTGGTGTTATGCATGTCTTCATCATGTTCTCTCAGTTAGAGCGTTCAAGCTCCGCCAGAGCAGTGAGGAATCGGGTGAAGAAAGATTGATGACTCTTGATTCCAGTCCACCCCAGCTGCCAATTTGTTAGGCACAAGCATGAGGCAATTTTTCTCAGTGCTTGTACTCTCTAGTCTAGGAACAGAAGAAGTTGTGTGTCAAGAATTAATTGTGATCTCCTGGCCTCTTGTAGTACCTGTATCCATAACACAAGTGTAGATTTGTTTTCAGTATAGCAGGAACTAGTACATTAGTCTATTGATTGATTTTTTCTTGCAGACTGGATGTGCAGACAATCTTTTATGGTTCACTGCTTGGTGTATCTCTGAATTGTCTTAGACCTCACCGTACTCAGAAATTCCAGAATTGCTTCAGTATCAGTAGAACATAAGGCTGATGACCTACCTTGTTGGGCTGGTCTACTAACACAAACCTGATACATGTACATGAGTATAGCAGAAAGATTATTACTGGTGATGATAAAAAAAAAAGGTTGTGGGGTGACCACAAATACAACACAGATGGACCTAGTATCTTTTATAGTTCGACATGAGGGGCCTCACAATTTTTTCAAAGGCTGTGGGCAGCTTCTGCAGTGAAAATGGGTTTTAGATGGAAAATAGGAAACAACAAGAAGGTGAAGTTTTCGGGGCACAACTAACCGGCTGGGTACCTCAAATCTAGCTATTCAGTTTGAGAGATTTACATCCTGATCAATGAAAAGTCTGAAACAGTGGCTAATTGTTACAGTACGTCAGGGGTCTATTGGGCCTGGGCTGGTTGTATAGTCCATTAGTGTTAGGGTTAATTATAGATAAGGATCGCTTACTTAAGGGTCAAGTAAGCCTTACTTGGGAGTCAAGTAAACCTCTCTATATAAGGAGAGGAGATGTATCGATCTAATCAAGCAAGAATTAAGAAGAAAATCCTTCCTCTACTATTTGTTTTCGTTGATGAGGAAGCTCTCTCACCCTCGCAGTTCTAGCCATGAACAGGTACCCACGGGTATTGTATCTTGTGTCAGATCTCAATCCGCCCCTCGCCTCTCCTCTCAATCCTCCACCCACATAACAATCTGGTATTAGAGATCGGTGGTTCGATGTCGACTCGCTGCCCACCCACCACCACTCGCCACGGCCACCAACGCCAGACAACTACGACCATGGACGTCCCGGCCGGTTCCGCCTGGTGGGAATTCGCTCGTTCGAGACCTCGTTGTCGATGGCCACGTATGTCTCCTCCGCCATTGGCGTCATGTCGAACGCCGAATTGGCTGGTGCTCGACCTCGGCAAGATGGTGGCCGGATTCATGCGTTCCTTTTGGGACCGCAAGGACCACGGTGATCCCACCGCCGCCATCACGCAGCAAGAATCGCCGCCGCCACCGCTTCGGCTTGATCGCGGTTTGTCGAAACCCATCTACACGACGCCAAGATGCCAGTCACCTACCGCGCTCGACCACCGGGTCATCATGGCGATGGCGGCGCCGCTCGGGCGCCCTCCACTGGCGGGTGGGCGGCCCCCTTTCCACGGCGGATGATGCCGACGCTCTCGGCTGTCTCGGAAGGCGCGGCGCCTCGCCTCCGCAAGACAGGACCAGCGGCCGGCTTGATGCGCTTAGTTTGTGTGGAGGACCTCGATCTTGATGCGTCGGGATCTCGGGCATGCGGTTTCCCCATGAGCGGCGGGCATGCTATTTTTCCTGGGCAAGGCTTGGGGAGGCGCATCCCTCCACCTCGTTCTCCATCGGAAGCCCTCCGCTTTTCTGTGCAGTGCTGCCCGTGGCCCAAGGGGAGAAGGTGTGGGGTCACCGGAGCGACACACGGTAAGGCCGTCAAGATGGTCGCTTTGCGACCACTTCTAGGTGGCCATACACATGCACCACTTTCGTCTAGATGGTGTTCATGGGATCCGTAAAGGATGGTGTCCACCTTATGTTTAGGAGTCAAAAATAAAGAGTCTGATCTATTTCGAAAGTTGAGAATAATAAAATAAGCCAAGATGTAAAAGGCTTGTTTTTAGGTGTTAGGAGTCGAGTCAGCGTTATAAATTCGTTAGGTTGCAGCTCGAGGACGAACTACATGTCCAGGTGGGGTGTAGTGTTAGAGTATGTCAGGGGCCTATTGGGCCTGGGTTGGCTGTATAGCCCATTAGTGTTAGGGTTAATTAGAGATAAGGGTCGCTTACTTAAGGGTCAAGTAAGCCTTGCTTAGGAGTCAAGTAAACCTCTCTATATAAGGAGAGGAGATATATCGATCTAATCAAGCAAGAATTAAGAAGGAAACCCTTCCCTCTTGCCCGGCCATGGGCAAACGCCCCGCGGCGGGCTCTCTCTCACCCTCGCAGCCCTAGCCGTGAACAGTACCCGCGGGTACTGTAGCGCATCAGCCGCCGTCGCTCCCCTCGCCTCTCCCTCTCAATCCTCCAGCCACATAACACTAATCTTTGAGATGGAACTAACCTTAAATGTATCTTTAGAAGGTGTGTTGATAATAGGCTTATGAACCTCTGGTTAGAGATAGTGCAGTTAGCCTCTACTATTTGTTTTCTTGATGAGGAAGATTCTTTAATTTGGCAGTTTACTTCAAATGGTGTTTATTCCTCTCAATCCATATATAAAGTAATCAATTTTAGAGGTGTATTACCTATGCATATTCCTGCAGTTTGGAGTCTGAAGATTCCTCTTAGAGTACAATTTTTCCTATGGCTGCTTTCTAAGAATAAATTGTTAACTAGAGATCAATCTTGCTTATTCTGCAATGAACTTGAGTCAGTCTATCACCTCAAGCAGCTTTGATGTTGTCTCTCGGAACCTTTGAACAAAAACTTGGGTGCTGATTTTTTGTCAGTAGATGCTATGTGGCTGAGTAACTCAAGGTTTTTAGTAGATAATATGTTCTGTGCTGCTGCCCTGTGGGGGCTTTGGAGGCTAAGAAATAGTTTATGCTTTCAGGGAATTCGGTGGAAGGATGGGCGATCCCTGTTATTAAAGGTAATAGTTATGCTCCAAGGTTGGAGTGATCTTTGTCCAAAGAAAAAGAACGTGGAGTTCAAGACAAAGTTGGAGAAGCTGAAGCACTTAGCCACAAGACCTTAAAGGCTACTTGGATCACTCAAGTCGATAGCAAGTGGAAGAAGTTTCTTTACCAAAATACAAATGATTGGAAGCTGTCAGGAATCCCAGGTTAAGCCAAAAGCCTCCTGGTGGATGGCATGAAGGAGATGTTTCAAGAAAGGAAATGGGTTAGCCTAGTGAAGATGAGGACCGAGTGGGGTATGTAATCTGTGGGGTGTATGTCTTGTTCGGTACTTTTTTTTTAAAACATAAATGGCAGGAGCTCTGTCTTTCAATTAAGAAGGAAAAGAGAATTTTAAGATACAATGGCTTCTAGGCTGTGAACCCGTAATGTAGCCAAGAATTGGCTCTGCCACCCGACAGCCCTTACACCATGATTGTAATTACACTACCTTAGCTGATCACCCGAAAAGCCCTTCTATACTCCTCTAGATTTTCTTTAATGCGGGTTGCTACTTCCTGAGCTGTTAAGAACTTTTGATCGAAAATTCTTCGATTTCGTTCCTTCCAAATATTCCACATGGTGTAGAACTTTTGATCCATTGAAGTGTCGCCTTTTATCCTTTGGTACGGATTGCACCGGGTGAGCAGCTTGAAGAATATTGAAATTCTCCCAAGTTGAGATTTGGTTCCACACCACTTGAGCATATGGGTAGGTTAGGCAAAGGTGTAAGCCGGTTTCCAATGGCCCGCTGCAGAGAGCACACGAGTTCTGGTGTGGCCATCCTCTGAGTGCTAGGTTGTCTGAGATAAGGATCTTGTTCTGTATTAGTATCCAAGCAAACAATTTGCATTTATTCTCGGTATGTGCTCGCCATATTAGTTTGGTTTGATGCCGATTGTATGTCCCAATAAATTGAGCTCGATAGGTTGATCGAGCAGAGTACTTTTCATCAGTTGTCCATTTCCACTTGATTTGGTCCTCCCTCTCAGGTTGTAGATGCATAAGTTGAATCCTGATCCATAGAGAGACAAATTGCTCCACATGTGTGGCGGTTGTTATTTTGGGGTGAAGCGTTTTGATCTAGGCGCTATTATTCAATTCTTGCTCGATCGTCTTATTTTTTCTTTTGACAAAATCAAAGAGATGGGGTGCAAGGTTTCGTGGGGCCTCGCCATCAAGTCAGCTATGATGCCAGAACTTCGCCTTCTTTTCATTGCCAATGGAAACAGTTGTGGAGGCGTTGAAGAAAAATATGTCCACTTCATTGCATGGGACGTCTGTACCAGACCATGGCTTATGGTCATCAGACCATTCTTGCCAAAGCCATCGCACGCGCAAAGCTCTACCGAATTTGTCTAGGTCGGTCACTCCTAGACCGCCCATGTCCTTGGGCTTGCTCACAGTTGGCTAGTTCACCATGCAATGACCGCCGTTGGCATTATCATTGCCTTTTTAAAGGAATGAACGACGAATTTTGTCAATTTGTTTCCTTGCCCAGATTGCTAGTGGGAAGATAGTTAAATGGTAAGTCGGCATGGAGGAGAGCAATGATTGGACCAAAGTAAGTTTCCTGCGCGGTTGAGAAGCCGTCCTTTCCATCTTGGAAGACGAATGCCAATCTTTTCAATGAGGGGTTGCACGTGCACTTTTTGCTGGGAGCGAGTGTGAAGCTGCAGACGAAGGTAGCGACACAGGAAGGTATTGCAGGCACCGGGAATGGTTCAAGAACATGATCCAGATCAATGTTTTCACAATGAATTGGGTGGATTGAACTTTTTTCCAAGTTTGTGATTAAACCTGTGACTTCGCCAAACATTTGGAGCATGCCCTTTACTGCTTGCAATTCCTCTCGATTTGGATTTAGGAAGATAGCAGCGTCATCGGCATAAAGAGAAGTGCGCAGTTTCGCTGTAGCTAGTGGCAGCGGTGTAAGGATACCGTTCTGAGTTGCGAGATCAAGCATTTTTTGCAGCGGGTCGATGACGAGAATGAATAGCATAGGTGATAGTGGGTCACCTTGTCGCACACCCCGTTTGTGACTTAAACTACTTCTCTGACTACCATTGAGAAG